GTGAGAGCTGCAGCCAGGGGTGGAGTCACTCATTCAGGAAACCGCTGCTGTTTTTGCAGACAGGACTCCCAGGCACAAGACCACAGCCCCCTTCCCAGCTCTGCAAGGAACTGTTGAAAAGCAGTAATGTTTAGTGTTTTATTGTCATCAGGAAAGTGAAACAGATTCGTTACTCAAAATATAGAAGAATAGGCCAGGCGTGGTGGCTCATGCCTATAATCTCAGCACTTTCGGAGGCAGAGATGGGCAAATCCCTTGAGCCCAGGAATTCGAGACCGCCCTGGGTAACATGATGAAACCCCATCTCTACTGAGAAATAAAACAAAATGAGCCGAATATGGTGGTGTCTGTGGTCCCAGGTACTCTGGAGGCTGAGGCAGGAGGATAGCTTGAGCCTGGGAGGTCGAGGCTGCAGTGAGCTGTGATTGTGCCACTGCATTCCAGCCTGGGCGACAGAGTGAGAGTGAGACTCTGTCTTAAAAAAAAAAGAGAAAAGAAAACACAAAGAAAACTTAGAGGAATAGAAAAGTAAAAAAGAAAATCATTGGACCAACTCCGTCAATATTTTGTAGTAAATTTTTGCTGCTGTTTTCCCCGTGTGCTGTGTGCTGTGTGGTGTGTGCTGTGTGCTGTGTGGTGTGTGGTGTGTGCTGTGTGCTGTGTGCTGTGTGGTGTGCTGTGTGCTGTGTGTGGTGTATGTGTGGTGTATGTGTGGTGTATGTGTGGTGTGTGTGGCATGTGTGTAGTGTATGTGGTGTGGTGTGTGTGCTGTGGTGTGCTATGTGTGGTGTCAGTGCTTGTGGTGTATATGTGATGTGTTGGTGTGTGTGGTATGTGGTGTGTGGTGTGTCTGTGGTGTGTATTTTGTGTGGCATGTGTGTGGTATGTGTGGTGTGTGTGTGGCGTGTGTGGTGTGTTTAGTGTTTGCATAGTGTATGTGTGATGTGTGTGGTGTGGTGTGCGTGGTGTGTGTGTGGTGTGTGTGGCATGTGTGGTGTTTGTGTGGTGTATGTGTGGTGTAGTATGGTGTATGTGTGGTGTGTGTGGTGTGGTGTGTGTGGTGTGGTGTGTGTGGTGTGGTGTGTGTAGTGTGTGTGGTGTGTGTGGTGTGATGTGTGCTGCATGTGGTGGGTGGTGCTTGTGGTGTGTGTGTGCTGTATGTAGTGTGTATGTATGGTGAGGTATTTGTGGTGTGTATGGTGTGTGTGTGGTGTGTGTGGTGTGTGTGGTGTGTGTGGTGTGGTGTGATGTGTGTGGTGTGATGTGTGTGGTGTGTGTGGTATGTGTGGTGAGGTGTGTGTATGGTGTGGTGTGTGTGGTGTGTGTGTGTGGTGTGATGTGTGTGGTGTGTGGTATATGTGGTGAGGTGTGTGTATGGTGTGGTGTATGTGTGATGTGTGTGGTGTGTATGGTGAGGTGTGGTGTGTGTGGTGTGTGTGTGATGTGTCTGGTGTGTGTGGTGTGTGTGGTGTGTGGTATGTGTGGTGAGGTGTGTGTATGGTGTGGTGTGTGTGTGGTGTGTGTGGTGTATGGTGTGGTGTGTGTGTGATGTGTGTGGTGTGTATGATGAGGTGTGTGTGTGGTGTGTGTGGTGTGTGTGTGATGTGTGTGGTATGGTGTGTGTGGTGTGTGTGTGATGTGTGTGGTGTGTGTGTGATGTGTGTGGTGTGTGTGGTGAGGTGTGTGTATGGTGTGGTGTGTGTGGTGTGTGTGTGGTGTGTGTGGTGAGGTGTGTGTATGGTGTGTGTGTGGTGTGTGTGTGATGTGTGTGGTGTGTGTGGTGAGGTATGTGTATGGTGTGTGTGTGGTGTGTGTGGTGTGTGTGGTGAGGTGTGTGTATGGTGTGGTGTGTGTGGTGTGTGTGGTGTATGTGGTATGTGTGGTATGTGTGGTGAGGTGTGATGTGTGTGGTGTGTGTGGTATGTGTGGTGAGGTGTGTGTATGGTGTGGTGTGTGTGGTGTATGTGGTATGTGTGGTATGTGTGGTGAGGTGTGATGTGTGTGGTGTGTGTGGTATGTGTGGTGAGGTGTGTGTATGGTGTGGTGTGTGTGGTGTGTGTGGTGAGGTGTGTGTATGGTGTGGTGTGTGTGGTGTGTGTGGTGAGGTGTGATGTGTGTGGTGTGTGTGGTATGTGTGGTGAGGTGTGTGTATGGTGTGGTGTGTGTGGTGTGTGTGGTGAGGTGTGTGTATGGTGTGGTGTGTGTGGTGTGTGTGGTGAGGTGTGATGTGTGTGGTGTGTGTGGTATGTGTGGTGAGGTGTGTGTATGGTGTGGTGTGTGTGGTGTGTGTGTGGTGTGTGTGGCATGTGCACATGTGTTCGAGGGGGTGTGGCTGTTTCTGTCACTGGGGCCACACCTCACTGTTTTCTCTGTCACACCCTTTTGTGAGATCTTCTGCCATGTGGCTCAGTGGTGTGTGGTTTGTGGTGTGTGTAGTGTGTCTTAGCCTGTGATCCCAGCACTTTGGGAGGCCGAGGTAGGAGGATCCCTCAGCCCAGGAGTTTGAGTACAGCCTGGGCCACATGGTGAGACCCCTATCTCTACAAAACATTAAAAAAAAAAAAATAGCCGGGCGCGGTGGCTCACGCCTGTAATCCCAGCACTTTGGGAGGCCGAGGCGGGCGGATCACAAGGTCAGGAGATCGAGACCACGGTGAAACCCCGTCTCTACTAAAAATACAAAAAATTAGCCGGGCGCGGTGGCGGGCGCCTGTAGTCCCAGCTACTCGGGAGGCTGAGGCAGGAGAATGGCGGGAACCCGGGAGGCGGAGCTTGCAGTGAGCCGAGATCGCGCCACTGCACTCCAGCCTGGGCGACAAAGCGAGACTCCGTCTCAAAAAAAAAAAAAAAAAAAAAAAAAAAAAAATAGCTGGGCATAGTTGTGCCTGTAGCCCCAGCTACTCCGGAGGTTGGGATGGGAGCCTGAGCAATAGAGCTAGACCGCCCATCTCTAAAAAAAGAGAAAACAAGCAGTAACCACAAAGTGTTACATTTTATAAAACAAGAGAACATGTGCACACTGCACCTGGCTGTGCCCCTCCCACTGAGGAGCTGTCTGAAGGGCTCTGCTTTGGAAACACCTACATTAGACCAATGCCCTCGCCCATTCCTCTGATCAGGAAGGCAAAAAGTAAAATTCCTGGGCCAAGGGGCTGCCCACGTGTCAGATATTTTGTGTGTGGGTAAAAATAGCTACTGTATCTCCTTCCAGAATGGTAGTGGGGAAACTGAGGGCCTTTTCCCTCCATGTCTTTTTTTTTTTTTTTTGAGACGGAGTCTCACTTTGTCACCCAGGCTGGAGTGCAGTGGCCGGATCTCAGTTCACTGTAAGCTCCGCCTCCCGGGTTCACACCATTCTCCTGCCTCAGCCTCCCGAGTAGCTGGGACTACAGGCGCCCGCTACCTCGCCCGGCTAGTTTTTTTGTATTTTTTAGTAGAGACGGGGTTTCACCATGTTAGCCAGGATGGTCTCGATCTTGTGACCTCATGATCCGCCCGCCTCGGCCTCCCAAAGTGCTGGGATTACAGGCTTGAGCCACCGCGCCCGGCCCCCTCCATGTCTTTAGCATAGAAATCATTGCCAATTTAGTAGAAGTAAAGAGATGCCTTTGTCCTTTAAATTGTTACATTTGGAGCTTTGTGCAGTTACACATTTGACGTGCTTGCTGGCTGCATTGTGTGAATTGGTGTTCCTGGCCGTTGCCTGTTTTTTTTCCCTAATGGGATAGCCCTCTTTCTTAAATGCATTTGCAGGAGCTCTTTATATTAATAATATAAAATCTTTTCAAACTGTGTAGTTCCAAATGTTTTCCCAAGATCATCTTTGTCCTTTGGCTTGGTCTATCTAATTTTCATTTGCAGTTGAACTTCCACTCTTTCATTGGTGGTGGTCTCGAGGGTGTGTGTGCTGGCTGGTTTGAAGGGCGAGGCCTGGGAGGGGGGCGCTGGGACAGTGGCCCCGGGCCAGGCGCGGTCGTGGCATGGCTGGGGCCGGGGGTGGCTGCCCTTTGAGGCTCTGCTGTGCCCTCTGGGTCGCTTTCAGCTGAGGGTTACGTGTTGGCCTGACAGGCTCTTCCCGGAAGGGCATTTCGTGGTAGGACGGTTCAGGGTCACCCCTGTTGGCTCAGGTCAGCCTAAACAGAACATTCTGTTGCAGTAACACAAATTATGCTTTGTTTGTTGGAAAATCGGCGAGATATGCAAGTGCGTGTGTGAGCTTGTGCAAGGAAATGGGGCAAGAGTCACCCAATTAGCCGTTTCAAAAGCTCATCCTTAAAAATCCACTTCCTTTCCAGTCCGAGGGGCTGGGCGCTTCGCCGAGGGCTCAGCTCTCTGGTGTCTCGGGAAGTCCTTCCGAGGGGGGTCACAGTGAGCACGAGGGCAGCAGCCCACGAGTGTCCAAGGCAGACAGGACCCTGGAGCCCTATGCCTCTGTTCCCCCTGACCGAGCCCCCCTACCCCCCCAAAAGCAGGCAAGCCAGGGGCTCCCTGAGCCTTGTCCCGTGCACTCCATCAAGGGGCACGGAGGTCAGTTTTGCTCTGGACAGGGTCACACCTGAATGATGCCAGAAACCTGCTTCCTAGCACAGTGTTCTGGGTGGTGGGCACTGCTGAGGCTTCTCTTCAGACCCATTTTGCAGATGGGGATGCTGAGGTCAGGTAATGGGACCAACGTGCCTGACGCCCAGAGCAGGCCCAGGAGCGAGAGGCCCAGGCAGGGCAGGAATCCCTTCTGCTTCTGCCCCAGTGTTTTCTGCCCCACTGTCACCGGACTGCGGGGAAAACAGCGAGATGCCGGTCCTGCCATCTATCACATCCTAAGAAAAGGCCGGGGAGCTGATCTCTCTGCCTTTGGAGGAACCCCGACTTCTCGCTACCGAGATGAGGTCGGTTTGGCCGGGCACGGTGGCTCACGCATGTAATCCCGGCACTTTGGGAGGCCGAGGTGGGTGGATCATGAGGTCAGGAGTTCAAGACCAGTCTGTCCAACATGGTGAGACCTCGTCTCTACTACAAATACAAAATCAACTGGGCGTGGCGGCAGGCGCCTGTAATCCCAGCCACTCGGGAGGCTGAGGCAGGAAAATCACCTCTGTGGAATGGGACAGAGCTTCTGGGACAGGGTCACAGATACTGAGAACAAAGTCACTGGCACCCAGTAGGTGCTCGATGGGTGGTGATGATGCTGTAGGACAGGCGAGGGATGCATTTGTACATGTTGATTGTTCTAACATGCATGCCTCCTGGAAGATGGCGCCGGGGCTCTCTGCCTGGAGAGGGAGGAGTGATTTGGTGGTTCTCCTGATGCACCTATCGGGTAAGTGCCCTCCTTCCCAGATGTGCAGAGCTTCAGCCATCTGGAAAGTGGTCAGTTGGCCAGCCCCCAGGATGCGCTGGAGCCAGTCCACCTTGCACCTCCAACCACCTCCCTGGGTGACGAGGATCGTGGCCAGGCCCAGGTCCTCGGACTCCTGAGGACCAGGAAACTTGGAACAGAGGACCCGCTCTGGGGTCCTAAGGCCTGGTAGCAAGTCCTGGCTCCGTCTTTCTCCAGCTGGACGATCACTTGTCAGAGCCTCAGTGTTCCCATCCATAAAATGGGCCTAATGAACACTGTCTGTTTGTCCCACCCCCTTAATGAGACCCGTGAATGGCAGTGTCAGTTGCTGAGGTCACCTTTTAGGCACCATCCAAATGCAGAGCCTTCTGACACCAAGTGTTTGCCCTGTCCCTCCTGTGGGTCCACAGCTCCTTCTTGCCTGCTGCCTCCTGGTCCTCCCAGGTCCCCAGGGAGGTCACAGACGCTCCTCCCGCTGTCTGCAGAGTCTGGGTCTTGGATTATGGAAGCTTGGGGTGGCCGTTTGGGAGGACACGTTGGCTCCCATACCCACGTGGCTGCCTCGTTTCCACGGGCTGAGCCAGCAGACAGGCGGCTCCGGGCCAGCACCCAAATACTTTCCATGGCGGGGGCAGGGCGGAGGCTCAGGGAAGCCGGCAAGGGGCTCTGAGCCCACACGCCACTGCTGCTCACGTCCAGAGCCTAGCCTCGAGACACGCTGGCTGTGGGGGACACGGCGTCCTCAGGACGGAGGCCCGGAGCTTCTGACCTGCTGGGTGGGCAGTGGGAGGGGGCTAGAGGCAGGATTGTCTCCAGCCTTTCCAGACAGGAGAGGGGTGACCCCAAAATCCTCCTCGAGCCAGCCAGAGCCGGCTTTGGAGCTGGAGTCCTGACCCCCAGCCGGGCTTGAGGCTGAGCTAACTGGAGTCCTGACCCCCAGCAGGGCTTGAGGCTGAGCTAAGAGGATATTATGGGTGGGGGCTCAGAGCCCAGAGGACCCCCCACACCTCAGGCCGGGCAGGGGTTGGCGGGGCGCCTGAACTAGCTCGAAAGCTTCCAGGTACTTAGAGGGTTTGATTTTTCTCCCCATCCCCCCTGCCCAGAATTCAATTAATCAATAGAAGAAATCTCTGCGTCACACCCCTCTGAGCCCCGCGGGCTCCTACAAGATTGATTAACACAAACATCAATTTCTTGGGCTGTGCGCCTCCGAAAACACGGCACTTTTTCAGATTGAATTGCTACTGTGTGCCCGGTGTAAATAAAGGAGAGGGAGTAATATGGAAGATTTGTTACTGTGTGCGTTGAGGCTCCGCTTCGCTTCCCGCTCGCTCGGCTGGTGCTATTAGGGGGCCGTGGTGCGGGGTGGAGGGAGGGAGAGACAGGAGGAGAGTGGAGGGACAGGGAGGGGGCAGACCACTGGGCAGGGCGAGAGAGGACAGAGAGGGAGATGACAGGGAAGGAGACACATACACACAGACAGAGACACAGAGGGAGAGACAGAGAGAAGAGGGAGAGTGGAGAAGCAGAGAGGGCGAGAGACCATTGCGGGATGGGAGAGGACAGAGAGAAAGCAACAGAGAAAGAGAGAGAGGGAGAAATTGAGAGTGGTGGAGGGAGGTTGGGAGAAAGAGAGAGAGAGGGAGAGGCAGAGAGGGAGAGAGAGAGGAAGAGGAAGAGAGAGGGAGGTGAAAGGAGAGAAAGGAGGTGCGGAAAGGCAGGCAAGGGAGTGGGCGTCCGGCGCAGGGTGGCTGGGAGGGATAGCTAATTGCTTATTCATTTTCCCTGGCGGTCTGAAGGGGGTGGCAGCTGAGAGGGGGGTGGCGCTGCTGGTCTTGAAGCAGCAGCTGGTGGGGTGACTGAGGTGACCCTGACATGGGAGGACGGGCTCCCCTGCTCCCTCCCTCCTTCCGTCTGGTGCAAAGCAGGGCCTGATGCAGAGGGCCCAACCCAGGCACCTAGTGGGAGTAGGACCCGAAGACGTTGCTCAGAGGCCAGGAAGGCCAAGCCCTGATCAGGGAGACCAGAAGCCCCGGGTGAGGCCTAGGCACTGGGCAGAGTGAGGTAGGGGCTCCTCCTCACAGCCACATGCCCCCGCCTCACCCCGCTGGGCTCCCTGTGGGCTAGTGCCCTCCCAAGTGTGTCCCCAAGGCCCTGTGCCTCTCCATCCACCATGCGCCTCTCTGTCCCACCCTCCCCCTCCCTGCAGCCGAGTTCCAGACCAGCACTGTACAGGAACCAGAATGTGTGTGAGCCACACAGCAAAGTTTCCATTTTGTAATAGCCATGTACAAAAAGAAAACGGGACAGGTGCCATTAGTTTCAATAATGAGCTTTGAACTCAACATACTGCAAATGTGGTCATCTCAACAGGTAATCCACACAGAACAATGCCTCCTGCAATCATTTCTCATGTCGAGTCTTTGGGACAGGGCTGTATTTCATACGCACAGGGTCCCCTTAAGGGCCGGCCACCTGTGAGCACTCTGGGGCCAGTGAGGCCGGCAACCCTGTGGTGAATGGTGCCGCTCTGGGCCCTGGTTCCAGCCCCTGTGTCCTGACGGTAAATGCTGAGGCATCTCTGAGTGCGGATACTGGGTCCTGGCGACAAAGCTGCCAGCGGTTCGCAGGTCTCCCCTTTACCCGTGAAGGGGCTGCGCAGTGCCCAGCACGGAGATGCTCGCGGCAGAGAAAGAACTGCATGTTTCAGGGCAGAATTTCAGCCAGTTCAGCTCAGAGCCACCCACTCTCGCCCCTCTTCCCAACTGTGGGGGCCCCGGGAGCCTTCAGGGGGCTGAGCACGGGCTCCGGCAGGCCCCAGGCCTTGGGATTACTTCCATCCTTGCTGCCATCCGCTCTCAACGTTCGGTCCCTGGGCTGGCACCTGTTGGGTGGCTCTGTGGGGCCGGGTTCTGGGTGTGGAGTGTGGCCTGGACTTCCCAGTTGTCGGAGTGGCTGGAAGCAGGACCACTGCTCGCGGTGCTTCTCCCACCTCTTCCCAAGGCTGACTCCTGTCCTTCAGTTCCCTCAGAATGGGGCTTGCAGTTTCGGACAGGCGTTCACCAAGGACTCAACAGGTGGGGTCCTGACCCCAGAGCTTGAAGTCTGAGGGTCCTGCCTTCCCTCTGGAGGTGTCCCCCAAAGGGGATGGTGTGGTCTTCCCTTTATGTATAGCTTTTTAATATTACAAAACATAGATGTTGTATTTTTGAGAGGGTCTCACTCTGTCAGGCAGGCTGGAGTGCAGTGGCACAATCACAGCTCACTGCTGCCTCAACTTCCCAGGTTCAAGAGACCCTCCTGCCTCAGCCTCCCAAGTAGCTGGGACCACAGGTGTGAGCCACCATGCTCAGCTAATTAATTAATTAATTAATTTTTTTTTGGTAGAGACAGGATTCCTACCATGTTGCCCAAGCTGGTCTGGAACTCCTGGATTCGAGTCATCCTCCTGCCTCAGCCTCTCAAAGCACTGGGATTGTAGGCATGAGCCACTGTGACCAGGCCAAAACACAGACGTTAGCAGAGTTTGTAGGAATCAGCGCCATTGTGGTGGTTAGAGAGGTGATAACACCACAGACCAGGCTCCCTTGGCAGAGAACGTGACTTTTACCACCTCCCTGCTGTCCAGTGAGCCAGGAGTTACTTTTTGGGGCCAACAGGTGAGGCTACTGTGGCTGAGAGAGGGCAGCAGTCGCAGGTGCGAACAGACCATGTTGGGCTGATGCCAGTGTCTCTGGACTCTCATTCCAGTGCTCTTTGCACAGCAGCCCACCCTATCTGGGGTCCCTTCCCCAAGGAGCTTCCCAAGAAACTGAAACCACCAACCCCACGGCATGGAGCTTTGAGAGTGCTGTCAGCAGGCACTCATTCCCTCACTCATTTAGTTACTCACTCATTCATTCATTCACTCATTCCTTCTTGCAGTCACTCATTCATTCATTCACTCATTCATCCTTTCATTCCTCCATTCACTCGTTCATTCACTCACTCGTTCATTCATTCAATCACTCGTTCATTCAGTCACTCATTCATCCTTTCAGTCATTCATTCACTCATTCATCCTTTCATTCCTCCATTCACTCGTTCATTCACTCACTCGTTCATTCATTCAATCACTTGTTCATTCAGTCACTCATTCATCCTTTCAGTCATTCATTCACTCATTCATCCTTTCAGTCATTCATTCACTCATTCATTCTTTCAGTCATTCACTCACTCCTTTTTGACTCATTTTTAGGATTACAGGCTTGAGCCGCTGCTCCCGGCTCACTCATTCATTCTTTTGTTCAGTTGTTCAACAGATGTCCACAAACTTTGCTGCGTACCAAACACTGGGTGGGTCCTTCAGATGCAGCGATGCAGGGATGATTATTAGACCTGTCGCCGTCTCCTCTTGCACGGGGCGGCTCTTACGGCAGAAGGACCGGGCTGCCCCTGCAGAGCTGCAGCGAAGCTGTGAGCACAGCTGCCTCCTTAAATGGCTGGAGCCCCGACTCTCTGCCCCTAGCCCCTTAAAATGAGCTCCTCCTGAAGCCAGGCCCTTGGCAGAGCCTTGGGTGGAAGGCGAGGGCTTCCGGGGGCTTGTGCGTTTCGATTGCCCTCAAGTGAGTGAGTCAGCTCCTGCAGCGGGCTCAGGCGGCGGGCACTTGAGTGAAGTGTGGCTAATTTGGTACAAGAACACGACGCCACTGGCAGGTTCTGCATCTTAGAGAAGCTTGGGGGCCACCAGCACAAAGGGGCTGGGAGAGGACGTTGCATCAGGGGCCTAGTGTGTGGGGGTGGTGGGTGCAGCAAAGGCACTCAGGCTAGGGCCCTGCCAGCCACTGCCCCCAGCCAGGGCCCGGGCTGGGCACCTGTGGATGGTGGGGACTCATGGAAAAGGCACCCTCCCGCAGGGCAAGGCAGAGCCTCCTGGGAGCTGCAACCTGGGAGATCTCAGTGCCCGAGGCAGGTCCCACACACCTGCCCACTGCCCGCGC